AGTTTGTGTTTCTCCAGCTCTCAGCCAGCTTCCAGGGGGATGCATTCTCACAGTGCTGACTCCATTCTCACATTCCCCCACGAGGCCTCCAGTACACCAAACCTATCTTTTCAGACCTAATGGAAAAGTAGGTCCCTTTCCTACTGTTCTGACAAGAAAATTCATGCTTCAGTTTCCTTGGCTGACTTGGGTCAATCTACCTTTGAGCCAACTATCATGAAACCAACACTGGAGCCAGATCAAAGGGAAAGAGGTCAAGTTTATCTCACCCACATGGGCAAAAAGTGGAGGAGGGTGGGTCTCCATGAATCAAGGTGCTGTTACCAAGAGAAGAAAAATTGAGGCTGGAGGGGGGGAAATGGCAGGTGTTTATGATAAGCATGTGGTGTGTGGCAGACCCTCACCCTGTCCTGTTCTCTCCCAAAGCCTCCTTAACATTGCCTGGCTCCAAGTATGGGACTCAGGGCAAACATGGGCCATGGGCCATGAAGGGAGTTGAAGAATCCTAAACCTTCTAGTAGCTCTGTAAGGGTGCAATAGCGTCTACCCAGTGTGGGAATCCCAGTGTGGTTTGGTGATAAGCTGTGTAAAGGAGGGAGGGGCTCCATGCCACTAGACTTTCTGGTTAGCACACATGTTAAAATACCTTGGATAATCACTTTTTAAAAACAGAAATTCCATATGATACAGAGGAAAAAGAGAATGAAGGGAAAAGTCAATTGAAAACAAAGCAAGAAAAGAAGGGGTAGAAAAGATAGGACAAATGTAAAACATAAAAACAGATGGAAGAAATAAAGTGCTTGGTTAATTTCACTGAATGTAAATGGAATGAATTGGCCAGTTAAAAAAATACATAAAAAGCCAAGCATAGTGGTGCATGCCTGTAATTTCAGCATTTATGAGGAAGCAGGAGAATCACAAATTTGAGGCCAGCCTCGACTGTCTAGGCTATTCAAGCAAGCCCAGGATACACAGTGAGATCTTGTCTCAAAAAAAGCAATTTTCAGATTTGATTTTTAAAAGCCAAATGACTGTTTTTATGAGACAGACAACATAAAAGTCAACAAAGATACTATATTGACAGAATAAGGAAGAAAAATCCATGTACAAAAAGAAATCTTGGTAGTTATATTAACATCAAAGTAAACTTGAAGCAAAAAGTATTACTAAAGATAAAGACCACCATATTTTGATAAAAGAGAAAATCTATCAGAAAGATAATAATCCTAAACTTACATGTACCAAATAACCTAGCTTTAAAAACACAAAGTGTTGGGAGAAATACAAATTAACAAATAATTACAGGACAAAATATGTGACAATATTTAAACATCCAGTGTATAAAATCAATAAGGGCATATAATATCTTGAAAACACAGATGAAAAGATTAATTTAAATGAATAAATAAAACACTGCTTTCCAACAAGAGAACATCCCCTCTCAAGCTGGCTGCACACAGGGTACACTAAGGAAGCAAACGGCAACACATTTCAAAGCATTTTGTTCACACAGAACGATTCTCTAACTACAACAGAACTTAGTAAGAACACCACCAAAACCTTCACACTTTCACAAACACGTTTCTCAGTAGATCATGGGTTGAAGGAAAAGTCACTATGAACATTAGAAAATATTTTCCAGTAAACAAGAGCAAAAATATTGAACGTCGAAACTTACAGTTTGCCTCCAAAGCTCTATTCAAAGAGAAATGCATAACCTGAAACAATCATAATTTTAAAATAAATTTGAACCTTAATGATCTAAATATCCAATCAAGAAAGTGAAAAAGAACAAGATAAACTCAAAGACAGTGAAAAGAAACAGCAGAGACAAAGGCAGAACTGAATGAAAAAAAGACAAAGATTTAATGAAGAGAAAGGCAACAAAATTCTGGCAAGACTTGCTAAAATAAAAAAGTAAATGACAGAGAGAATATAAGGAATAAAGACAGGCTATTATTACAGATGTCGCAGAGATTAAGAAAGATAGTAACAATGTGTTATATTTTATGCCCATGGCAAGGAAAAACTAAGGTGAATGAAAAAGTTCAGCTACACTAAGAGCTCAGTAGGGAAAATCCCAGAAATGGTCTTTGGATATTAAAACCAGGAACAGGACTGAGGAGAATGATGGATGGGAAAATAAAATACCAGATTTCATATGACACACAAAAGCCAATTCCAGATAGGCTAAGCAGTTAAATATCAAAACAAAAAATTTAACTTTTAGAAGAAAATAAAGAATGCCTTTATGACATTCTTAGAATTTCTTAAGGACCAAGAAGGCAAATCCTAAAGGACAAGTAGAGAACCCTGACTAGTAAAATTAAGAAATTCTCTTTTTTCAAATAATAAGCCAGGCAGTTTTTCATACCTCCATACCTCCATTGGGAGGCCGAGATCAGAAGGATCAACATTTGAGACCAGTCTGGGCAAAAAGTTTACAAGACTCCATCTCAACCAATATCAGGGGTGTGGTGCACACCTATCCTCCAGCAATGGCAGGACGCTTAAAATAAGAGGATCGCAGTCCAGGACAGCCTGTGTCAAAAGCAAGATCCTATCTCCAAAATAATCAGAGCAAAAAGGGCTGCAGGCATTAGTTCAAGCACTAGAACAAGCATCTAACAAGGGTGAAGTCCTGAGTTCAAATCCCAGTGCCACAAAAAATAATACTGTAAAGAGAGTGACAAGATAAGCCACTGAGAGACCTGCAACACAGTTCAGGTGTCAGCGTTCAGACACACATAAAGAACTCTGCATCAGTAAAACAGGGAGAGGGAAAGGAAGACAGGAAAAGAGAAAGGAAAGAAAGTATGGGAAGGAACATAAAGAAATGGACAGAAGACCTGACCAGATGTTTCAGCAGGGAGAAAATGTGAATAGCCAATAAAAGTAAAAATGTTTTCAGCCTCAACAGTAACTGGGGAAAGCTCAAACATTAAAAAAAAAAAATAAGATTCCATTCCACCAGATTAGCAAATTTTTAGAAGTTTGACAAGGCCAGGTGTTAGTGAAGAGGTAACACCTGCATTGTTGATGGGAGTGGAATTTGTGCAATGCCTTTGGAAAACAATTTGACCAAGACTGTCTGCATGATTTCACTTCCTGAATCTACTTTGAAGAAACTGTCATGTGTGTACTGGGAGACAGGTTCCTGGATGGCCTAAGCAGCACTTTTTGTTAGGGTGAAAAACTGGGAACAATCTTGGTGTCATTCAACAGGTAGATAGACTGAAAAATGGTCATATGATTGACATTTTACAACAGGCAAATCAATGACAGGTCCCCCACCCCCATCATCATAATTTAATTTCAAAAGTATGTTAAACAAGAAGTGAAAGTTAGCTATAAGGCCGGAGTTGTGGCTCAAGTGGGAGAGCATCTGCTTAGCAAGCTTGAGGTCCTGAGTTCAAATTCAGTACCATTACTGCCCCCCCAAAAAAAAGTTAGCTACAGGGAAAACAATTATGAAACATGATTCCATCTATATTAAAGTAACATACAGGCCAAATAGCATAGTGTCTTGTCTGGGGAAACAAAGGTTTGCTGAAACAAGTCTGCTGCCAATGAAGTTAATTTCTTGACTTAAGACATGGTCAGTCACATTGCTATTTTAAATATTCTTTAAACCATATATGTATGTATATATATACATATATATACATATATATGTATATATATACATATATATGTATATATATATATATATACAGAGAGAGAGAGAGAGAGAGAGAGTCTGTGGATAATTAATGTCCTTCATTTGAAAATACCTAATAACTGAATTGTCATGTACAAAGTGATTTGTCCAATAGAGGAACTATTTGAGATATTTTTTGTCTTCTTTTTGTTACTGTCTGACATTTAACCCAGAAGGGGGATATTTACAAAGCAGTATTATTATAAGTGATTTTAAGCCCCTTAGAGCCATGTCCCACCTTGAGCTCACTTTTCTTTGGTCATTTTACTATTATCAGTGAGAGGCACCTGCTCAGAGCCACTGGCTCCATCTGGAATGTTAGTCTAAGGACAAATGCCTGACTGCCTGCCTGGCTGGCCAAATATGTACACAGCTAGCATGGGAAAGGACACCGGGAGCCTCTGAAACGCCAGAGGCCTGACCTTGAGGTCCAGGTTGAAGTGAGGTGTGCTGAGGAGAAAGGGCAGCTAAGCCCACTGGGAGAGCTGGGCTCCCGCAGAGCCTGGCCAGTGGCTGAGCTGGAACGAACACGCCCATGCACTGAAGGAAGCTGGGGCTGACTGTGTCCTTGTTCACAAAGCCTTGCAAAGGCAGGCCTCCACTCCACAGGTACCAGACACCCACAGGACAGGCTTTAAGAGAAAGCTCAATGCTTTCTCTTAAATGTGTTGCTGTAAAGAAAAGTTCAATGCTGTTCCCTCCCTCTGTATGGAAGGACGAGGAGCAGTGAGCTGGTGGCCTATGTGGCCACAGTAGACGTCAATGCAGGGCAGACTAACTTTGTATGGCCCTCCCCCAGCCTTCCCCACCCCATGCAGACGTGCTGTAGATGCTCAGAAATCACTTCATCAAGATTTGGAAGTAGAGGGTCGGGGCTGCAGCTCAGCCTGTGGCTGTAGCCTCCTTGCATAACATGCTTGAGGCCGCAGCTTCCATCCCCAGCACTGAAAAGAAAAACGGTTTCAGAAACCATAGCCCCTACTACGTGTGCATGCTTTTATACGTACTTTAGAACACTGGTTTCTTTGAAGAGTTGGGAGGTTGGATCTTTTTTACCTCTATTTAGGATTCAGAGAAGCTAAGTAACTTCACCAGGACACACAGCAGGTTGGAAGCAGAGTTGGGATTTGATAACCAGGCTCCTGGATGTTCCTCCTCATGGGTTGATACTGCTCTGGGAAGCAAAGGAAGGCCTGGCCTATCCACCCTACCCTTCCCAGGGACCAAGCTTAGTAAAAGCAAAATGGAGAGACTCATCTCTGGGCCACAGACTTTGCTCACCCTGTGTTTGCCTCCTCAGGAAGCCGGGGCTGTCCTGCACCACGTGCTCCAGCAGCCTTCTGAGCTGTTGCAAGAGCCTGTGGGGGCTTCGGCTCCTCCAGAAACACTCGGAGGAGAAGCCGGGGGAACCACTGTCTGAGAACACAGAGAGGATCCCATCTCAGGAAGCAGTGAGGGTGCTGCCCTCTGAGGCTGTCTAGACCTGGCCCCAGGACACTGAAGACACCATTCCTGGTCACCCAAATTTCACCTCTGGAGCCCTTGGGACCCAGCACCCAACGCCATTGAGGACAAATCTTAGCCTGAGCCTGGGGACTTCCTGAAACACAGCAGGGTGCTGTGATCCTTTGCCCCAGGTGGACCAGCCTATTCTGAGCTCGGCATTCCCAGACAGGAGCACAGCCTCCTGTAGGCTGAATTCCATGGGTTCAAAGGTCACATTGGTGCTGGTCCAGGAGTCATGAACAGAGGCAAGACAAATGGGGACATGTGCACAGGTATACATGGAGGAACACATGTGTCCTCTGAGCAGGGCAGAGAGTGTTGCTGTAAAGCATCTACCTCTCATTCCCTCATGGGATCTGCAGAATGGAGGAAAAGGAAGGGAAGCAAAGGAAACTGTCTTCCACAAACACCTACTATGTGCCAGGTACTTCACCTGCATGAGCTCTTTATAACATATGCTTAGGGTAGGGATCACCATGCCAACTACACAGAAAAGGAAACCAAGGCTCAGACAATAATGGAGCCTGCCTAAGGCCACTCAGCTAGATAGTGTAACTGGCACATAGAGGCACTAAAACGGTACTTTTTGTATGGATCAAGGTTGGTGGGAGGATGGATGGATAGATGGATGGATGGATGGATGGATAGGAGGATGGATGGATGGACAGATGGACAGATGGATGGCTGGCTGGATGGGAAAGTGAGTGAAAAGTCAGGCCTCATCCATGCTCTTGAAACTATACTATACTGCCTCTCTCAGAAGAGCGGTCAAGCTGTTTCCTTGACTCAGCCTGTCCTCCCTAGCGAGACCCCTTCATGCTAGTATGACCTTCACTGGTGCTTCTCATCAAGAAGTGGAGTGCAGTGAACTTGCTGAGAAAGCGTGTTTGCCTGACTCCAGGGAAGGACAGGTAGAGGCTGGGGAAATGCAAAGGTGTGCCCTCTTCTGGCTGCATGAACTTGGGCACATCACCTGACCCCTCTTAGTCGAAGGGGTAAGCGTCCTTATTACAAAATTGTTGAAGAGACAGGAGATGGAGGTGTCCAGAGCCCCAGAGAGACGAGGGTGTGGATGAATTTCTCTGTCCTCAGGGCTTCTCAGTGGCTCTCTTCACTGAATACCACCCATCCCTGACACTGATTCTTTCCTTGACTTCCAAGACCCTCTCCTGGATCCTCCTTCCCCTGTCCACCTGTTATTAAATGTGGTCACTCCCCAAGGTGCGGTCCTAAGCCTTGTCTTCTCACTGTAATGTTTCTCCCTCTGTGACCCCACTATACCCCGACTTCAGTTATGAGGCACAAGGAAATGACTTCCAATTTATAACTGTAGGCAAGCCTTCTTCAGAGAGCTGGAGATGCACTACTGCCTGTGCCACACCTCCATCATGTTTCAAAGGCACCTCACCTTTAGCATGTCCACAACCATACTTTCTACCTTCTCCCTATATCTGCTCCTCTCCCAGGGTCCACTTTTTGGGCAAAAACCCCACTCTGTCTTCAAAGGCTGAAAGTCAACCTTGCCTTGCCGCTCATGGTCAACTAACTAGAGTCCTAGCCTCCTCATATACCTGCCGTCCAACTGACTTGTCACCTGTTGTGATACCGCTGGATCTAACTGCTGTGGTCTCCATGGAGACAATTGGAATAGCGTCTTACACTCCTCCACATTCCCCACTCCCCCTCCTCCAGTTCACTGTCCACCCAACACCCACCGTGGGCTGTGCAAAATGCAAATCCAATTGTGTCACACACAGGATAAAACCATCTTTAGCACGACCCACAGGCCCTGCATGGTCAGCCCCTGCTCGCCCCTCCGGCCTCCTCCTGCACCATCCTCCCCTCCTCCTCCTCACAGCATCCCTGGTTGCCTTTCTGTTTATTTATCCCACTTTGCCATTTCCAGCAACTTGGCCGTGTACAGTGGGTCAACCATGTACTTACAATGCACAGTAGGTCATTCATATACTTACAACACTCTCCTTTCTCTTGGGGCCAGTTGATCCCATCAGATCTCAGCTCAAATACCACTTCCTTAGGAAGTCTCCTAATCCCTCCATCCTAGGTGAAGCCTCTCCCTGCCACGCACTCAGAACTTTCCTTGGAAACCATTGGTATGTTCAAAATGCTACAGTCACTTGCGTGGCTCCTTGAACATCATCTGCCTTCCCCACTTGAGTGCTTTCTATTGCCCACGATGGGGTCCTAAAAGAGATCATGGCTTATATTAGGACCTTAATGAATATTTATTAGATGATGAGCAGACAAAATAAAGAATGTAAAGAATGGTCAAAGCTGACACTTTAAGCAGCTAATCTAATAAATACGAAGATGTGACTTTTTGCTGGTGACTCCAGAGATGGTCAGTCTCTTAACTGAATTCCTTCTGGAAGTCCCAGAAATCCCCCTTTGGCAGTTTTCCCAGAAGTCTGAGTGAGGCAGGAGGGCTGCTAACTCAGACCTCCAGAGCAGACAGCTTGTCTGCCTGATCGCTGATGCCTGGTCAAGGCTCCAACCCAAAGTGCCCCCAGGGCCATCTGCCACTGCAGAGGATACCCTGCAAGTCTGTGTTTGAGCTGCCCCTGCCCTTCTGGAAGTCTCCTGGAGTCTCTGCTGGATGCAGAAGTGGGGTACATGCTGCTTGGAGTGGAAACATCTGTGGTGGGACCCTGAATTCATGTTCTATACTACCATTGTGTTCCAATAAAGCTATCAAAACAGATGCTGCCTTGGGATTTTATTTTTTAACTTCCTGATGAGGAAGTACTCCCAACTTGTGTCTTGATTTAGAATAGAATGTCATAATAAAATTCTGGGGTAAAGGCCAAGTTGAAATTTGCTTTGAAAAAAAGAAAGTCTTCCCAGAAGTCATGTTACATTCTTTCCAACACTCTGGAGATTGAACTCAGGGCCTAGGGCCCTGCCCCCAACACTTCATTTCATCTTAAAAGTTTCCCTCAGAAGCCATGGAAAGTGAAAACATAGGTAAGGGAGAACTACTGTTAAGGTCATGTTCTTAGATTCTGGGAGAACATAAATTTCTGGAGAGACACCATTCAGTTTGCCGACTTCATTAAAGCTGGAGAAACAGGCCTTGAAAAGGGAAGTGACTTGCCCAAGGTCATACAGTTTTCTGACCACCGAGTAAACCAGGCACACAGTAAATGCTTTGTAAGTGTTTGTGAGGTCATGTTTTCAAAATTGTCAGATGCAAAGAGGTTTTTGTCACATAGGAGGAAAGGACATTTTAAAATCGATCAGTAAAGCCCATGATTGGTGGACGAGGTGTGTGTAAGGAACGGGTTGAGAGAAACAAATCAAGATTTTATGCAAGGAATAAATCCTAGAGATACCAATGAAAAGTTTTTGAGAAGGGTGAAGGGAGCTGTCCAGAGTTGAGGACATGTTTGATAACTGCTGCATCAGCCTGAACAGGGTCTCCCAGGATGGGAGGGAGGAGGCTAGAGGCTGGGGAATTCTCAACTTTGGACCTTCCAGAAGAAACCAGTAAGTCATACCTTGGTGAAATTCCACAAGAAGCAGAGAAGAGATGGTGAGTAAATCAAAGGTCAAAACACCTTTTATTATGTGTCAGGGGAGAAAAGACTGAGCTGGCTGAGAGGAGGCATGGGAAAGATGAGGGTAGCTAGTTGAGTCAACAGGTGACCACAGGTGGGGCAGTAGCTCTTAACTAAACTACATAATAACCAAAGGTGTGACTATAGGTCAGCCACCAGGGCTGGAGCACCAGAACTAACAATTGCCAGAATCCTGGTCTGGCAGGTTCAGAATCCATTAGTGGGAATCAGAAGAGACCCCAAAACCAGAATTGGTCAGTAGGCAAAGGTGGAAGGGGTGGGAAGGAAGAAGGAGTTGCCAGAGGCTGGCCAGAAATTACCACAGGAGTGCCAGGGAGGCCCTTTGTGAGCATTCTGGAGGTGTTGACAGCCTCATTAGGAATTGTGTCTCATCCTATAAGTAATGTGAAGCCTTTGGAATGTGTTCAGCAAGACAGGGCTAAGACGGTAAGGTCTGTGTTATGACTACAGCCTTCAGACTCCAGATTGAGGGTACAAGGGGCAGAGATACCACAATGGGCATTAGTCCACAGTGACTTCGCCGGTACTCACCACAAACCTCCAGCTACCTGCCGGGAATCCAAAGGAACCACGTATTCCCCACTTTCAGAGAGATGTGCTTATACCAGACATTATTGGGGGATTAGGGAAGGAGCAGAAGGGAATGAGTGGAAACCACAAGGCCGGAGGATAGTGCCAGTGTGGAGTGCGGGAGGCTGTGAATCCCAGCAGCATTAAGTTGTAAGGAGAAGAGCTCCAGATCCACACAGGAGCACGTGATGGGCTGAAACCCAGTTCAGATGCAGGACAGATGCTGGAGAGTTGCTCAGCAGCCTGGATCAAGGGAACCCATTTGGAATTCCATCTGTGTGAGATGGAGAACCTGTTCCTTCCTCTACTGAGCCCTTGCACAATACCGGGAAGTTCTCTTCCACTCAGCTCCATGTGGTCTTTAGGTCTAGCATTTTAGGAAGAGATTATAGATGAAGAACCAGGAGGTCACACCTTTAGATGGTGGGACCTGCGGGACCTCATTCAAACAGGAAGTGATCGCCAAAAACACCCATCTCTCATTGGAATTCCAAACCCCCACCCAGATTTCAAGCATTTCTGTGAAAAATCAGCAGCCGTCTCTCCTTACTAACAGCCTTCAGGGGCCTGTAACCCATTATATTAAGGATCACTGCCAATGTCAGCACCATGTTCCTAACCTCCCCACTCAAAAGTACACTGTGCTTCCCATGCCCTGTGATGCCACCCTCCTAGCCAGAGCACTGGCCTGACCACACCAAGGCCTCTTAGTCCCTGGGGCTTTGTCAAAGGCCTGTCAGGAGTTCCAGGAATTTAGAGTCCCAAAGGGACTGCAGTCTGAGTTATGTGGCTCCCAGAAAACCTTCACCTTCACCTTCAGCTGACATTTAAGATCCCTTTCCTGTGTCCATCCAGACATCACGTCAGCCCTTTAAAGAGCTCATTTCTTCCAGTGGCCATCCCTGTGAGGAAGGGAAAAATGACCTGTCCCAAATGAACAGCCCAAGTAAGTGTAAGTGGCAGAGCTGGAATTCCAGCTCTGTCTGATTGTCTCCCAAGACAGGGTCTTTTCTTTCTTATTCCTATTTTGAAATTGATTTTTAAGGTCATAAGTGATTACGGAGATAACATCTCTTTTAAAAATT